ACCAGCTGGGCGACCTCCGCGGCGCGGCCCCGCTCCACTTCCCGCACGTCTGCGCCCTCTGCGACAAGAAGGTCTTCGATCTGAAGGTGAGTGGGTTTGGGTGCCCCTTGAAGAGGCTGCCAGGTGACTGTCCCGGCCACTGGTTCCTGACACCCCTTGCTGGCAGTGTCCATCACCACGGAGGTGCCCTGAGAGAACAGAAACAAAGGGCCATAGTTTTGCTCGGGGTATTGTACATCTGTTTCATGGCCGTTACCGGAGGTTTGAGATCTGGTTTTGTTCCGCATCGTGCCGTGAAAGATGGTGAGATTACAGTGCTGGCATGAGAAACGTGAGGTCTGGGCTGAGGTTGCAGCTCACCTCACGGGCCCAGAGCAAGGGAGGAGGAGCTTGAAGCTGATCCCCCACTTCTCAAGGCAGTGTTGTAACCCCACATCTGCAGTTCCATCTGCTTCTCCCCTTCTCTCTGCATTTCTCAACCCAAAGGCTTCCCTCTAACAGCCTTGAGGAAGCAGCTTGCTTAAATCAACCAGCACATTTTTTTGATAAAACTATTTTAACAATTCCCTGTTAGGATTTCTTCCTCCTAGTATCTGCAAGGAAAATTTAGGGCTCAAGGTCTCCAGCGTCTTTGGGCTGGAAGCAAGAAGCTGCTCAGCACATGTGGTCCAGACCATGCTCCCACTTCTCTGTTCATACTGGCAAGGAAGCTGCAAATTCAACCTCATCCTCAAGACGCAGCTTCCCAGTTTCCCAGAAAGTCTGTGTGCTGGGTCACGTTATATAGGTCAGGTCTGGAGGAGGACACTGACGTGGCCCTCTGAGCCCCACAGCCTCCCATGGGCTCTGGCTGGGTTTGTTCTGGCCCCCCAGTGAGCTCTGGTCAACAAGTCCTCACGACCTTTTCCGTCACATCACAGGACCAGCAGCTAACCACAAAGGCATGTGTTGTCACACTGACGGTGGCCTGACAATAAAATCACAACAGCATGTATGTAGGAAGGAAAATGGACAGCAAATTAAATAGTCCCTGATACCTACACACCCCAGGGCTTTGGGGTATTTGAATCTATTTGTTCTTTCCCTTTTACTTGTTTAGCAGCTGCTTGAAAAAGGGTTTGCTGTGGTGACTGCAGCTACAGGGTTGGGCTGAAGTAGTCCCTGTCTAGGGCATGCTGGGCATTTCTTTGTTTTCATTAAACATTTAGAAAGGATAGGGGAAATGTCATAACCCTGAGTTTTGGTGGATCTGTTAGTGTTTACTGCACTGCCTTAATTGGATCATAGAGGTGTAAATACCTAAATGTACTTTGGCAAATGCTGCTGATCTACTGAAATTAATAGGGACTGTCCCAGCTGCTCTGTGTACTGAGCACCTTCTTTGTGGACGTTGCAGGAGTAGAGGTGCTTAGCACCTTGCAGGATGAGCTCTTCAGCTAGAGTGAAGTAACTTAATTAATAGAAATATAGTGAATTTAAAAGTAAATACAGAGAACTCTCCTTTTGTAAAGTAACTGATAATTTAACTTACAAATAACACCTCAGTAAATGCATTGGATGAAGGTGCTCTTGGCTCCAGCATCATGTGGTTTGTTCTTCGGCATCTCAGTATCAATTTTAGAATAAGGTAAACCGAATGGAGGAATAATCTCTTGTAAATTTGTCTCAGGATTTTTCCTATGCCCACTGTCTTTTTGTTTCAATATAGGACTGGGATCAGCACATTAAGGGAAGTCTTCACATCCAAAAATGTATGGCTTTTTCAGATAAGTAAGTATTATTTTAGAGTTACTCTTCAAACTGAATTGCTAACACAGCATCCCTTACTTCAGTGGCTTTACACTGGGAATTTACTGCCTAGTAAGTGAGCTTTAATATTTATGGCACATTATGCATGCTCCTAAAGTTCCTTTCTCTCTTTTCCAGCACTGCTGTCCGGTGTATGTTAAGCTCATCAGATGGAACATTGCATTTATCACCAAATAATGCAGCAGTTTTCAATCCATCTAGTATCGAAGGTGAATGGTTGTATATGCAATAGTTAAAACAACTTTTTTTTTTTTAATTGAAAGGGAAATCAGTCTCTGGGGAGAAGTGGGAATTCTAAATGAAATGTGATAAATGTTTCCAAGGAAAATTTTTGAGAGGTTGTGCACAAAAAAGGCTAAAAGCCAATACTGTGCCTTTCAAACTATGAATTTATTTTTCTCTCAAACAATGACTTGTTTTCACAGTACAACAAAGCAGTGTATAATTTGGTGTAGAGACTATGAAATTACTTATTATGTAAATGGGGCATTGCTTACTGAGCACACTCATGCAATTAATATGAGTCAAGATTTTCATGAAATGTGTGTAATCCATTATTTAGATTATCCACCAAATGTCGGCGCATCGTTTATCACTACACCAGCAAGATCCTTTGGCCAACCAGGTCCTACGTTTCCTTCTCCTCCATCAGGGGTAAGAGTGAGTACCTAAGCGAATTGGTCTCTGTGTCGAGATTCTTGTAGAAGCCACTTCTGCTTACTGGAATAAAGACCCCAAAGGCTTCCTCTTAGACAATAATCTGAATATTCAGCCTGTTATTTCAACTTCCTTGCAGCTCTTTTATGCTTTTGACTTGGGCTAAATCTGAACTTGACTCTAGGTTTTGGTTTAGTTTGGTTTTTATCCAGTGCTAAAAGTGGTTTGCTTGTCAGGGAGATTTGGGGAGGGTGGTAAATGGGATTGTGTGTATCCCATTGACCTTTTTACTCCATTTTCTGAGTCTTTTTGACCCAGAAAGGTCAGTTTCAGCTTGGAAGGAAGATTTGGATTCGTTTTCAGTTGCTCTCAGTATCAATCCCATCAAGGAGCCTTCCAGCAATCTGGTTATTTATTTGTAGCAATCTCTCTCTGGGTATCCCATGCTGGGGTCCTTTTCCCAGGTAGCAATAGTGGCAAAGACAGTACCTACAGCTTCACTGTTATTCACCTGGAGGTCTCAAATCAGTTCATTATACTGGACTAACTTTTCCTTAGTTTATTTCAGTGTAGCATTTACATCATCTGCTGCCACTGGTGGCCTTTTAGCAATTTGCTTTGGTGTAGAGCCTTCAGTGGTTTGGGTTCATTCAACCCAGGTCCTCATTTATATTGCCCTAATGCACACTTGAGTTCCTAGCTCTATAATAAAAAAATGCCAGGAAAAAAAACCAACAAAAAAGCAACATTATAGGTGATTCTTACACTGAAAGCAGAAGGATTTTAAAAGGAAAATAAAAGCAATTCATAGAATGAAAATACAGATATATTAGGGTTAAAATGAAACTCATCGTGTATCAGAAAGCTATGACTAAAGCTGGAGACACCAAGGACTTATGTTAGGGCATTCATGGAATAGCAGCAGTAATCCAGGGGTTCAAGTTTTCACCTTGTTAGCTTTTATGTATATATCCTGATGTGGTCTCAGACACTCTGGAAAGGCAGACTGAGTTGTGTGTGTGTGTGTGTGCGTGTGCCGCTCCAGTTCGCATCAGGCATTGCTTACAGAAAGGTCACCCAGATTTGCTTAATCCAACCAATTTTCTACCGTGCAGTTTTACTGTGCAAGAGGTTATTTGAAGGGGTTTTAGCTTCTGTCTGTCACAGAGGCTGTGTGCAGGGGAGCAAAGAGCAGAGCTGCTCATGACAGCTGCTTCCAAGGTCAGAGGTGGAGTAGCAGCGGGTGCAGAGGAATGTTCCTTTTCATCATGTCTGTCAACTTCACAACAAATGAAATTACTGCTAATACCAGTGTCATTTCTCCTTAGAATCTGTCACTATTTATCATTTAAGCTGCCTGCAGAAGTCCTCCTTCTAAATGACCTGCAGTATTATGAGCGATAAAAGAAACAATAACTTTGATTTTCCTGGATACTGTAAATCCTCTTTTTCTTCAGAAGCTCACAAGATGAACAGGGAGCTATATTAGAGGTGTTAAGACTGAGTTTGCCAGCTGTCATTCACTCTGCAACCCAGGTGGCTTATAATTTATTGCACCTTTGCACGGTAGTATTCACTTTCAGCTAAGCTGCTGCCATTTAGCTGAGCAGTGGGAGATTATACTTGACCCTGTATGTAATCATAAACAAAGTGTTCAGATTTCTGGAAGAGCTTGCTGTGTGCTGTCCATCTGCAAATAACTATCCCTCTTTAAAAGGCAAGTGCTACCAGTCTTCCCTTGGGCGTGGAGAGCCATTAGCAATGGAGGGACTGGACTGGCAGTTTCATAATATCTTTAGGAGAAATTCACATGAAGCTCAAGAAAGGGATAAAGGATTTGAAAAACAAGAAAAAAAAAAAGAAAATGAATTTAAAAAGCTGTAATAAAAAATCACTGTACTGAATTGGTGAAATAATATTGCAAATTTTATGAAGTGCATTTTCCTGCTGTGCATTGAATTTTTTTGCAGTAGTAGTCATGCAGCTGCACTAGTAAACCCCTGTAGACATTGGTTGCAAAGAAAGTTAACTCAGAGTCTTAATGAAAACTACATTCAACACGTGGCATGCAACAGTTCCTCTAACTTGCTGATTGTGGATTTGAAAGGTGTATATTCCCTTTCTGGCTGTGATTTACAGCTCCATTTAATGAATGGATCCAATTTAACTGCAGTCAGCTGACAAGATTATTGCTTGGTACAGCCCATTGACTTTTGGCATGAGTATGTGACCACTTCTTAATCATGAATTACAGCAGGTTTATGGTGTAGCATTTAAATTTAAGCCATTGCCAATTGTGGGGAAGTGGTAACATCTTGCAGTTGTTTGATTTAATGTACTGCTGAGCGGGTGTCGGCACACGGGCTCTGGAGCCAACGTAGGGAACAGCTAAGTCTTTCTAGCCCATAGACTCTTACACACCACCTTTTAACAGATCTAACAAAACAAACAGAAGGTGTTTGGTGACCAGGGGTGTTTGTACACTGGGCCTGCATTTGCTATTTCCTTTTTCTCTGCTAGCTCTAGCTGTGTTCTTCTGTTCCGTGCTACATGCTGCCTTGCCAGATGAATGCAGGCATCATTTAATTTTCTGTTCAAGTGGAATTGAGTTGCTTCGTCTTTGTTATATTTCTGCTAGAGAAAATATCTTACTTCTGGACTTTTGCACTTCTTTGACTTGTCTTACGCACCTGGGCAAGGCCCTGTGAGACACAAGCTAAATAGGAGAGCACTGTACTATACAGGGTCTTGGGCCTGTATTACACAAATCAGCAAAAACACACAAATGGTTAAGTGGCGAAGCCTGGAGGGGAGGCAATGGGATGAAGGTGTAAATAAGATAACATAAGCTCTGTAACTTGTGAACTTGCTGACAAGCCAAACATTTGTGATGTCTCTGGTGAACTTGATCCCACAAGATTACATGATTTGCATCTTCCCTTGAATGGCACAATTTTAATGAAGGTAGAGTTACTTCAGTAAAATCCTAACAGCAGAAGTCATAAACATAGAAGTAGTCTGGAAAGACTTAATGCTCTGTGAGTGATGTTTTGTGTGTCAATAGCTGGGGTAAATTAACTTCCTCTCTGATGCCACTTTGCACAGGGAGTGTAGAACCTGCTTTCCAAGTTAGGATGATGGGCAGCTCTTTGGGCACTGCCTCAGCACTTCAAAATAAACTTCTACACTTGGGAAGTGATTACTGCTCTGGTGCCAGCCCAATTCAGGAGCAATGCATGTCCAGTGGTCACCGTGTCCCCAGGGAGAAGTCCCTCCTGCTGTATGTTGTTGCAAAGAGTTGGGAAAGTAGTGGTTTCTGATGTGAGGTACAGCTGTGTGTCCTCTCACAAGTTAAACAGGATCACTTTGACCTGCCCAGTCTGTTCCACCAGGGCAGAAGAAAGATTTGAATTCAGCCCCTGCTATCCTGAACACCTCTGTGGTCACTTAAACTGATTTCTAATGTCCATAAATTCAGCAGGGACTGCAGTGAGCAGTTAGTTTTTGCAGCAATATCATTAACCCTGTTTGAAGAAAAGCAGCTCTTCTAGAAATCCTCTCAGGACTTTGTAATGTTCAAGGACTCAGATTCCATTGCAACCTGCACTGCAGTTAAACATTTCCCTTCCCATTTGTATTTCTATGCCAGGATGTTAAAATGCAAGGTTTTAAAGAAGAATATTTGTCCTTAATAACAGGTATGCAGAGCAGAACATTTAATTTTTTCTGAAATGTAAGATTTTACCTAGTGGATGGAATGTCTAAGATAAAAACATTGGTTTGAGTTGGTGTTTTTTCCCCAGTTTCCCCAGAGGAAATCTGCACTGGGTCGAGTTGTTCACATCTGCAACCTCCCCGAGGGAAGCTGCACAGAGAATGATGTCATTAACCTGGGCCTCCCATTTGGAAAGGTCACCAACTATATCCTCATGAAATCCACCAATCAGGTACTGTGTGTTGGGAGTCACCAGTATTGACATCAAGTGGCATAAAGACATAGAGACATGAAGATAGATTGTTTGGAGAAAATCTTATTTTGTAATAGAAACTTAAATATATGATGCCTGTTCTTAGAGTAAAGAATAAAATTTGGTGGTCACTGAATGAGATGATGACATAAACATGACCATTGCCTCATAGTAGTTCTTAAAAAAACCCACCAGAAATCTCAATGAAGAAGTGTTGTAAAACTTTACTTTTAAATATAATAGTTTTTCAAATAGTGAATAGCTTGTCTGTCTTCTCTCAGCCACTTGCTACGGTTACTTTCAGACTTCTCTTATTCTGTTTGGTAGCTTAAGTCTACCCTAAGTAGCTTAAGTGTCTAGTGGTGTAAGCAGGTAAGAGCAGAGTATCTTCCCTCACATACTTGCAGCAGACAATACAGATGGATGTAGAATCCACACCAGTGGTCAATGTTTGAGATTGTAATGTTTCAAAATCACAGAATCATAGAATGGGTTGGGTTGGAAGGGTCTTAAAGACCATCTAGTTCCAACCCCCCTGCCATGGGCAGGGACACCTTCCACTAGACCAGGTTGCTTAGAGCCCCATCCAGCCTGGCCTTGAACACTGCCAGTCAAGACAGATTCAGATACCAGTAGTTTAGTTTTTCACTAAACTGGCTTCTAAAGTCACATATCAGCTTTGATAGCTGGTTTAAAACCATTATTTGCAGATAAAAGAAGGCTGAGAAATGGACTGAGTGTTAGTATTTCAGCTCCAGGGCTGGAAAGCTCCCCAGTTTTGTTCTGTCAAGGCATTTTGCATGAGAAGAATCAAAAGAAAAATTTTTGTGCTGCCTTTTCTCTCTTACACTTCGTATTTTTAGTTATGTGTTGGATTGTAAGGTTCTCCTCATTTATGCCAGGCCTTTCTGGAGATGGCTTACAGTGAAGCAGCCCAAGCCATGGTACAGTACTACAAAGAAAAACCTGCTATGATAAATGATGACAAGTTGCTTATTAGGATGTCTAAAAGATACAAGGAATTGCAGCTGAAGGTAAGATAGTAGTTCCTGATCTAATTTCCTGAGTTTCCATGGCACATCCTGGAGAATACTTCTAAAAAAATCTTCGCTGATTACTGATTTCTAATTAATGCTTTAATGTTATGGAAAAAGAAATTAAGAAAGATAAATGAATTCAAATTAATGTATGCTAACAACCTTTTGTACTTTGCTGCTTGCTATTGTTTTAAATTTTAACTCTTGGAAGAGACCCTGTTTTCTCTCATACAATTATTCCAAAAATCCCTTTGGAGCTGGCTGGCTCAAAACACAGGTCTGAAACACAGCCATGTGCAAGATAGAACATGTCAGCAAAAATAAGATGGTTCTGTCCTTTCAGTCAGGCATTAAGCCTGGAGCAATGCTTTTGTCACTGCTTGCATGCTGGAGCCATAGTACAGTCTTGACCCCAAGCAGTGATGGCATGCTGACTTTTTTATTTCTTTCTTGTGAATGACCCCAATTAAAATTAAAAAGCAAGGGGGTTTTGGTTTTGTGTTTTGGGATGTGGTTTTTGTTTGGGTTTTTTTGTTTGTTTGGGGTTTCTGTTTTGGTTTCTTTTTCTTTGCATAGAGTCCAAACAGAGTCTCTAGACTTTCTGCAGTGTGTGACACTTCTGTTGTAGACACCTGAGTGATGTCCAAAAAACACTGCTCTTGTGAGCATATTTCTGGAGGCCCTATATGTGTAATGCTAAGAGAGTACTTTTATTTGAACCAGAATTGGCAATGCAGAGCTTAAAATCTTCTCATTGTATTAGCGAACACAGCACAAAGTAAGACAACTCTGTAATGTTCCAATCTAAGAGGTTAAAGGGCCTTTTATGAGCCTTGAGGCAAAACAAGGAACTCAGATGGTTTGGTTTGACTTTTGGAAAAGTCTCTTTCTTTCCTGTACATGTATAATATTTTAAGGAGACTTAAAGCGTTTGTCAAAAGTTCATAATCCAGGGCAGTCTCTCCTAGTGTGGTACAGTGAGAGGTTCAGTCATTAGGTGGTGGAGACTCTGCATCTTGGCATAGAGGCAGGAGTTCCCCAGGAGAGTGTGATAGTTTGCCCAGATTTCAGGAAGATGTTTCTGTTTTTCCAATGGCAGTTTTGCAGATCATGGAATTCTTTTGCTCTGCAGGAGGAAGAAGACAAACAAACAAAAGTGCAGTATGGAAGGAGGAATATGCATGAGCTATTTACCACCACAAACTGCTGCGTTCCAGCATGATTGCTTTGCTCAGCTGTGCATGCTCCAAGTGTTTGATGAATTGCATGCCCTCCAGCCTGTGCAGTGCATCCCACATAAACGATTTTGAATCTCGACTAATCAACACTTCCAGCACACATCTTTCTTGCACATAGCTTTTCTAAAGCTCTCCTATCTAAACATAGTCTTTTAGAGTTACACTCCAGAATGAGACGAAGAGAAGGCAGTTCACTCCTAGAGGATCAGAGATAGGCTGCTATACATATTAATTCAGTATTAGAAAAATTGTCTGGTTTGTTTCCTCTTAGATCCAGTTCCTAGAAAATTCTCAGGAGTGATTGTGTAACGAGGAAGGACAAGCTAGTTTTCAAAGCCTGTTACAGCAGTCAAGGACATGGAGACAGTGCTGCAACATAAAGGAGAAAATTTTCCATTTGTATCATTTTACTGCTTTGATCAGGTTATAGGGAAAGCAGCTGCAGAAAAGAATGTAACCACAACACTGAAATGGAATATTTCTCAGTAATAGCGTGTTTGAATGATACATGAATACTGTTTCTTGAAGGACAAATCAGCTATATTAGCTTGGAGAGTAGTGCAGGATGCTAAACAGTGTCTTTGTTTTTGTTAGAAACCAGGTAAGAATGTGGCTGCCATAATCCAGGACATCCACTCACAGAGGGAGAGGGACCTGCTGCGTGAAGTAGACAGGTAAAGTTTCTCAGTAGTTTGGAATTAGAAGTCTCTAAACCTGCAGGTGAAAGAAGCATTATCTGTGTGCTTCCATCTCTCATTTTGCTTTTCTAATTTGGATTTCACTTATACAGTAGTATGTATTTTTATATAGTCTAATAGTAGGTACAGGTCCTGTATAATGAGATCAGATTGAAACTGTGCATGCTGTGAAAATAAAAGAACTCTTTCGTACTGATGATGAGTCATAAAATACTCCTGGCATGTGAAGAACACAAAAATGAAGCTGTTCCAGTCCCCTACCCATTGAGTGAAAAGCATAAAGGCTGGGGGTGCTGTGAGACTTAGTGGGAAGGAGCCGGTTCAGATTAAACTGTATATGAGTATATTTCTGATCTGCCTGACTTCTGGACCTTGCAGCAAAATTGGAGAGGAATCACGGCCCTAAAACATCTCTTTAAACAGGTGGCCTTTGTCACTTCTGTCTCAGAGATGCCCTAGCTGAGTGAGTATTAAGGGTACAGACATTAGGGTCATTGTAAAGGTATTAACATATTATAAGCTTTTAATGCTAAACCCCTATGAGACGCTTTTAAGAATGAATGAATATATTCTTGACAGTTCTGTGGGGACTTAGTTAAGCTCTGTGGATATGACACTGCCTTTTCTCCTGTTCACTGTGTTTGCAGCTGTGCAGTGCATGTGTGAAAGGCCTGGGGTCTCGGGTTCGCAGTCCCCAGGGCAGTCCCCATGAGCTTCCAGTGTAGAAGAACTTGGTAGACAACAGTGGGTCAGCCAGTTACAGCTGCCTTTTCCCTCTGCAGCAGGTATGGCTCGGACAGGCCGCGCTCTCGCAGCCCCATAAACCGCTCCCTGTCGCCCCGGTCCCACACTCCCAGCTTTACCTCCTGCAGTTCACCACACAGCCCCATGGGCACCAGCAGGACTGACTGGGGAAACGGGAGAGAGCCATGGGATCAGTCCTCGTATTCTCGACGGGAGGAGGAGAGAGACAGCAGAGAATGGCGAGAGAATGGGGATGAGAAGAGGGACAGGACTGACACATGGGTACACGAGAGGAAACATTACTCCCGACAGTTGGACAAGTTTGATTTGGATGAACGGCTTGAAGGAGGCAGAGGACACAGAGAAAAATACTTAAGGACTGGTTCCCCTGGCTCCCTTTACCCTTTGTCTGGCTACAAGAACAGGGAAGATGACTATTACCGAAAATCCTCGAAGTCAAAATCTGACAAGTTTCAGAGGCAGCTGCAGGATTTACCTGGAAGATCTAAGAGAAAGGAAGAGGCAAAGTTAAGGGAGCACAGGCATTCTTACAGCGAGGACACTGCCAGGGAGGAGGAGGCTGAACAGAAGCACAGCAAAGCATCTGAGGGCTCCAGGCAAAAACAAAGTGATAAGAATAAGGTGAAGAAAGCGGAAAAAGACCAAGAAGAAGATGCCACTGCTGAAGACAGTGATGTGAAGGAAACCAAAACTCCTGAGAATGAGGTAAATAGAGATCTAAAAGTGTATGCAAGAAGAAGCTGAATGCTGAAGTAGTGTATTTTCTGAAATATCTTAGAGCATTTGTTGTGCGTGTGGTACCAGTGACATGAAGTGTTTTGCCATGATAAAATCAGGGAATGTAGTCCTCAAAGAGATCGTGGGAATCATCTTGTCCATGTCTTGTCCATGCCCAGATCATGCAGCTCTATTACACCATCACAGTGTTGGGTACACAGACCTCATCATTCTGTGTCAAGCACAGAACCTTTGGGTAACCAGTGAGGGGATGGGGACAGACAATTGAAAACAAAACCAAGTGGCAGTCTGCTGTTTGCATGCAGGCTGTGTGTGCAGGGGCAATTGCTCTCCTGCTCTCTAAGTCTTGTGCAGAATACCCCATAGATGCTCTCTGCATCCATCACCTCCTTCCACTGCCAGTCATGAGGATTGAGTTATCTGGGAATTAAGTGGTATTTTATAGAGATGCACAGGGTTTGTAGGGCAATACAGGGAACTGGTTGTTATACTACTAAAATAGGGAATAAGCTTTTAATGAGGAATACTTTCTTTCTGGTTAACTCAACAGAGCAATTTGTTTCTATAAATCATGTATCCCTACCCTCAACTGTGGCAGGGATAATTCATACCACTCCCTTCAATGTGCTGGCAGGAATCTCTTCCCATGGCAGAAACACTGAATCAGCTCAGTTGTAAAATTACAGGATCTCTGGAGAAACACTTCCAATTGTAAAGCCGCCGTGTTTGTGGGTTTGATCCTCCACTGGAAAGAAGTGGAGAGGAAACAGGTCAAGATGCCTCGTTTGCTCAGTCCCAGTACAGCCCATACTCATATCCCCACCCTATGGAGATCTGGTTACTGGCTTGTGGCCACTCTGCCTCCCCCAGTGCCCCTGGTGATATGCTGCCTCCATCCACCCCCAGGGCTGCTGGCACAGGAGGCTGCAGAGCTGCTTGGCTGACCAGGGCTCCATCTCTAGCTTGTGCCTTTGTGCTGCCAGGGCCAATCAGTTGTTTCCAAGTGACCTTGCGTGTGTTCTTCTCGTGTGGGGGCAAAGCTGGTGGAAGTGTCTAGATTTGTAGCTCACTAGTCTGTTAGCAGCAGCAGCACTACCTCATATCATAGATATGTGTGTTTGTACCAGCTTTTATCATCTTTCTCCTTTGGCTGGTATTTCACTATGATGTATGGTTCCTTGGGAGGAGATGTCAGAGAGAAACGTCAGACAGCATCCTCCATCACCAGTGTTGTACACTCCTCTGTATGTTTTACAAGTTATTTTACAGTGGCTTTGCTAAAGGCAAAGGCATACCTCTCTAGGGACTACTGCTAAGAATGGGCTTTTAAAGCAAGAAGTAGTTTTGACTGTCTTGAACTCACACTTCTGCTTTGTCCCTCTTTTACTAAGTCCCAGGTAGCCCTGTGGCTTTGTTCTTCCAAAGTATGAACTGTGCAAGCAGTTGCATTCTCAGCTGATCCTACATCAATAAATAAAGCAGTTGAGGTCTTATGCAGAGTTTTAACACTGCTGCTCTCCTTACCACGTCTGAGCCAACATAACAGATGTGGGTAGAGAACAGAGGAGTGGAGGCTGGAAATTTTAATGAATTCACATTCTCCCCCACCTGTCTTCTAGCCAATTCTATGATATAAATTACATCTCTCCAATTTTGTTTAAAACTCTTTTTCTTAATTTTTATTTGTGCAGCTCTGCTAATGGAATCTAATTGTTGGGTCTTTTCCCACAGCCTAGTTGACTTGCACAAACTTTAGAAATAAAGAATGTGACCTTGTGAGTGACTTTGCTTCCCTAAACCCAGAATAGAAACACACTAGAGCACCACTGTGTGTGGCTGTATGTGTATCTGTATTTATTTTAGCTTGAAAAAGAGGAGCAAGTTCCAGAGAAGAGCTCACCTTCAGATAATAAACAAGGAAGAGAATCCGGAGAGATTCTGGAAAACACAAAAAAAGAGAAGGTTGGTGATATACATTGTTGGTGCAGTCTCCATGACAAAATGAGTGAAGCCCCAGGTTCACTAGCACATTCTCCCAAGTGAAATATTAACCATCCCTGAAAAGACATGTAAAGAGGTTGTAGGAGGAGGCTGTCTAAACTAACTTGCCTTATCTTGACCTCTGCTTTAAGGGACAGCTTTTCCTGAAGTCTCCAGAACTCTTTTTTTAGTTACTCTTTGCCCATGTACATTGCTTCACATGCATAGCCCTTGGCACTGGCAGCTGTAAGGAACATATGCCCAAGTGAACTGTGTAACTTTGCGAACTGTGTCCAAAAATAGGAGATGCAGTCAGTTCATGGAGAAAGAGAGGACTAATGATGAATACTTTTCAGAACATTGGCCTTATAAACTATAGATAGTAGCCTCTTCTGATTGTTTCTGGTTTTAATTAAATAATGTCTTTACAGCACCCCTACTGCTGCATCGCGGTCGGGGAGAGCAATGTCCTTGGAATTCCTCCAGCTTCATATCTGCAGGGTCATGGGTTGATGGTCAGATATGGAAACTATTGAGATCTGTTGCGGTAGAAAACTGATCTCCTGGCAAGAACAGTGTCAACTCCCAGAGTTTTCATGCTGTTTTAGGATTCTAGGAGGGGAAGTGTGGGAATGGCCAAGCAGGAGGAGAATACAGATTATTAATAGATTGTGTGTACACAAGGAGTCTAGGAGTTGAAATCTAAGCTGCAAGTGTGTCTTAAAAGTAACATATACCTTTTAATTCTAAGACTTCTGAAGCCCAGTATTAGTAACTGAGTCCTTCAAGTCTGTAACTCCATGTATGAAGTATTTCAGAATATGTACCTTGGAGTGTAACTGTAAACCTGATTTTCTTAAGGTTTAGGCCAGTCTTTACCAGCACAGTCCCTGGCAGAAGGCTCTTGCTGGTGGAATGAAATGACTGCAGAAGGGAGCCATGTTTTCTCTGTCACCATAGGGATTTAAAGGACCTAGTCCAGCGAAGTGAAAGACTCATAGGCTCAGCTGGGGTCCAGTATATTTTCATTGCACTGAGGTGGAGGTAGAGCAAGGAGATAAGTTCGCTTCCTTGGGGATCACATAGTAGCATCACTTGCATAATAAAATACAACAGGATGTGCCTTGTTCTACTGCTTACAGGAAAGTAAGATGCAGGAGACAGGAGAGACCATAATCCACAAGGCAGTTACAGAATATCCACAAAAGGAAGTTTATGTGATCATTCAATAGGGATCTCTTGTCTTTGTGAATAAGGTTTAAAGGCATATCATTCTTCGAAACTAAAATACAAGAGGGGGTTAGGTATGGCCAGATCAAAGTTCTTCCTAGTTTCAAAGCACACTTTTTAACAGGGATGATCTATAATCACCAGCCTCTCAAATGTTTTACATCTTTGTGACAGGACCGGGACTGGGAGAGTGGAAGTGAAATAGAAGGTGAGACCTGGTATCCTGCTAACATGGAGGAATTAGTGACAGTAGATGAAGTGGGAGAAGATGATCTAATTATGGAGCCTGATATAACTGAGCTTGAAGAAATAGTACCAGTTGATCAGAAAAATAAAGCTGCTTCAGAAATGTGTCCCTGTGTGTCAACTGTGTTAGAACTGAAAAACGATCACAGCCACTTAACCAGGAGTGAAGACAAATTTGCCCATAAAGCTTTGGAAACAAACTTCAAAACAGCAAAGGGCAGTGCAGCTTCTAGCGGCTGTCAGGATGGTGATGAGGATGATGATAATGATGATGCCGTAACTGAAGCATCAAGCCTAATTCTGGACCTTGAACAGAAGCCAGAGGAATTGAAAGAAGACCAATCTGCTGAGGAGTCTGATCTCCAGCAGAAGGAAGGAAAAATTGATAAGAGCTCTGACACTCGTTCAGAGCCTGAAGATCACCATATACCTTCTGTTCATCTGAAAGAAGAGACTCTCCAGCTCCCTGATACATTTATAGATGATTACAAACAGATGGGATCACAAGGAGCTGAGAGCAGAGAAGTTACGGAAATGCTCGTTAAAAACGCTAGTGAAGAAACAAGACACGGAAGCCAAGAGTGTCCAGAGGCCAAGGGTAACTACTTTTTTTTTTTTCCCCTTGCATGTTTTCTCTGACAGTAGACTGAAATTTATTGCTAACGAGAGTAAGTGTTGCTAATAGTATCAAGACTTGTCCTTGGAGCAGCTCAGTAAAAGAACCCCAGTGCCTTTGGTCAAGCTAAACCATTAGAGCCTCTTAGCTGAATAGTGTAAAGGAAATATGATAAGCAGCTTGCAAGCTTTCTGAAAGGCATAAGCTGCTATAATTGTCATGTCAAGGTTCACATGAGTTTAGCTGAAGTCTTTCGGTGCCTTGCTAAATTTATTTTGAATTGTCAATGAAATGAGTGACAGTCTCTGAAGGTCAACAGAAAAGTATCTGTGATGTCTGGCTGGCTCCTGGACAAGGTGGGTATTCTTACACACTGTACTGAAGCATTAGTAACATGGAAATCATCTGTAGATTGTTACTTCTCAGCCCCTGTTCACGCAAATACATGCCTTTCAGGACTTACCTTATCATCTCCTGTTATCTACTGCATGCTACCTTTAATATAACTGATAGGACATGCTGTGAGATAATGTCAATAAATGTAATCATAGCTACCTATTAATATTTTAGCTGTCAGGGAAA